CATGTATCACAATGGCTTGATGTTTGCTTGGAAAAGTTGGCCGTGGAATCGTTTTCGCTACTGATACATAGGATAAAACTTGGTTTTGTGTTTGAGACATATTTACTGTTTGGATATTTGGTACGCCACTGCTCATGTAGTCAAAAGCAATTGCGTTTTTAGTTGAAATTATAATTTAGCTTCTATGTATTATGATAAAGTTTCAGCTTTTTATTCATTTTAAAATAAAAATAGATTGCCGGTTGTAAGGCAATCCTGTTTAAATGTTTTCTTTTTCTGATTTTAATCAGTTGAAACAAAAAACAAACCTCAACTAGTAATGAGTGATTTATACATACATTTATTTATAGTTGAAGGTACACTTATGTTCACTGTTTTTGCACTATGTTTTACTAAGCACGACAAAATATAAAACGATGTTACTCGTTCGACACCTCGTAGTGGAATCATGATTGTTATTAGCCACCACATTTTATGGGAATAAACCCATTGGAATTTGAAAAAGAGATATTTTCAAATATTATTTATTGATATTAAATATACTTAATACATAATATCATATAATACTTATCATACATATCAGCTTTACGCAAGCATTTTTTATAAGCCAAGCTTACTAGCATTTAATATTACTCAGCAAATGCTTAAAAACTTAAATTGATCTCACCTGGATTACCTTTGGAACTACTACGTCTTGATTTAGGAATAGGAGGTAAGTTCATTAACCCTAGTAGATAGAATAATAGTAATAGTACATTGCTAGTATATCAAAATCTATTAAAAATACACAAAAAAGAGGTTTAGTTCGATTTAAAAACAATGTGCTCGTAGTCTGCGTTTACGAGACAAGACGAGATGATAAACGAAGTGTAAGTGGAGGGTATATTCCTATCTGCCACAAATCCACTTTTAATATTCACTGCATGACATACTGCCATTAATATTCCGTGTAACGTTGACTGGTATTTATGTGAAGATTGCTTAAATTTCGCAAATAATGAAGATTAGTGTTCATATTTGTTTACCTTAAATTTTCTAGCATATACACGGTGTTTCTTAGGTAATTGTACAAAAAAAAACCGTAGATTCTATACTTTAAAATATAGCGATTTAAATCAAATTGCTTTAATAAAATGTTACAATATTATAATAAATACATTTGCACTTAACTTTGTTGCTCTTTAATTTACTGTTTTTTGTGATAAAAAAATATTAAAGATACATTAGTTTAACAAAAAAAGATATACTTGTTAATAACTTCAAAATCAACAGTTTTCGAGATATTCGCATTTTACAAATCAACTACATAATTCAGATTTAACGCAATTACTCCGGGCAACGAAAGAAAATTAGACAAAACCATCAATACTTCTGAATTTTGGTATAAAATGCCTTTAATAAAGTTAATAGTTAACGAAATATTAAATAGAATAAATATATCAGCAGGATAATTTGAAATAGGATTTGACAAAATAACAGATTGATTGGATTTTACATTTAACATTTTACGTTTTATATTAAATTAAACTCATAACCAAAACATTTTATTTACAAACCAAATGAAGAAATAGATAAACTAAATAACATTAAACTTTTTGTAAAAGCAAGTGTTCGATATGTCCACCATTTTCTTTAATTTACTTGTCAATACATTCTACAGGAGATCGTCTCATAAATAGCATCATTGGTTCTAAAGAAACTGCTGCAGTATTTATTATAAGTATTATAAGTATATTAATAAGTAGGTACTGTTTTGGGTTTTTTTATGAATTAAATAATTTTTTTTATATCTCACGACATGACCAAGGAATACGACTACCACGAACAATCCAACATTCAGGAAAGTTGTATTTAAGTACACTTCATCTAATTTATATAACGATGCACGTCATCGGCGTCATAGCCTGTGACGTTACATGATACCAACACAAAATATTTAGGGTGTAGGTGTGTTCTTTTTTAGAATCACTTTACCGAGTACACTGGCATTACAGCCACTAGACATATTTTATTATATACGCGTAGAAATAATATTTAAAAATTTCTATTAATGTTAACTTAAAGAAATACACAATAATATGTTTCATTTAATTTGTATAAATGCATTATAAAGCGTTTTTATCAAGAACATTTGTTCGGAACACACTGTAACTGTAATCGAACAAAGCTAAAATTTTGGCATAAATTGGTAACACTTATTTGACAGTTGCGGTATTGACACTTTTTGTACTTCATTATTTTGAATTTTAAAGTGAATATCTCTTGTTTTATATTTTTAACTATTTAATAAAATCTGTTCTTTTTAAAACAAAACTAGTGTGTTTTATTTCAAAAATGTCACGTAAGAATTTAAATAGTCGTTGTAAAGAGATGGTAATACTTTTGTAATAATTATGTAATCTATTTGATTTAAAATGGAGTCAGGATTTTTTTAAACTTTGGCAACTATGTCAACTTCGATCTCTGACGTAGATAATGACGTAAGTCGTTATCTAAATTAGATGAAGTATATGTTCTCACTGCCCTCTATCTATAATGTGGTGGTGTACTATCTTGCATAAAACACATGTTTCGCCTTAAGTTTGATGACAATTTTTTCAATAAATCAATAAAATTGTTTTATAAAAAATTTAAATAAATCTCATTCAAATTACAAGGTAATTCGTATGTCCGTAAAAAATAATTACCAATTATTCCAAATCATACATTTAACATTCATGTTTAAAATGCATATCGTATGGTTTGGTACCATTTGTAATTATGTTTTACGAATATGCGAATCTTATAATATACTAAAAGGCTAAGCCCTTTTCTTGTGCGCAATACTCCTCCTAAACGGTGATAGATAGGAGAATAATTTTTTCGAATAATTAAACAGATTGTTGAGTAGATTCCCCCTAAGGTTTCAAATTTAAAAAAATTCGAACCGGTTTAAAAATGGCGGCCATAAAATGAATTTTTCCTATAGTAAAGTATAGGAATTTTACAGGTTTCATTCTTCAAAATTTACAGTCCTAATTTTCAATGTATTTTTAAAATATGACCGCGTCTACTTTTTTCCTATACTTACTGATTGAATTTAGAATTATGAAACCGGAAGTATTTACTTCCCTACTTCCGGATTTAGTTTTAAAAATTATGGTTTCTTTCACGGTGTTCCAGAGCATATGGACGGTGCTGCGAGTTCTCAAACCAAGTTCTTTTTCTTAAACGTGGCATTTTACAATCTAACATATGCAAAAAAAGTTACTTCCAGTTTTACTTCCGTTTTTTATTTAAGAGGGGCGGAGTCTAACAATCATATTGTTTCCGTTTCCTAATGTAAATCTTCCTGAAAATCCTAAGAAACTACTGTATCGATTTTCAATTTAAAAAAATTGGCGTCGATACAGTTTATTTTTAGGATTTTTGGAACATTTACACCAGGCGACGGAAACGATGGATCGTTAGACTCCGCCCCTCTTAAATATCAGCAAAACTTACATCAAAACTCGATGTCGATTTATTTAAAATTTTCATAAAAAGATTTTATTGATTTCTTGGAAGAATTGTTATCAAACTTAAGGCAAAATATGTGGTTTATGCAAGATGGTACACCACCACATTATAGAGAGAGGGCAATGAGAACATACTTAAATACAACTTTTCCGAACGTTGGATTGTTCGTGGTAGTCATATTCCTTGGTCATTTGGTGAAATATTAATATAAATATTTAATTCCTAAATATCCCAAACGAGTACTTTATTATTTATTATTATATATACTATATAATAAATACTGCAGCAGTTTCTTTAGAACCAATGATGCTATTTAATATGAGACGATCTTTTATGGAATGTATTGACAAATTAATTAAAGAAAATGGTGGACATATCGAACACTTATTTTGATAAAAAGTTTAATGTTATTTAGCTTAACTATTTCTTAATTTGGTTTATAAATAAAATATTTTGATTATGACTTTAATTTAATACAAAACGTAAAATGGTTTGATGTAAAATCCAATCATTCTGTTATTTTGTCTAATCCTATTGCAAATTATCCTGCTCATATATATTTATTTTATTTAATATTTCGTTAACTATGGACTTTATTAAAGCATTTTATACCAAAATTCAGAAGTATTAATGTTTTTGTCTAATTTTCTTTCGTTGCCTGGGATAATTGCGTTAAATCTGAATTATGTAGTTGATTTGTAAAATGCGATTATCTCGAAAACTGTTGAGTTTTGAGGTTATTAAAAAGTAGATATTTTTGTGTTAAAATAATGTATCTTTAATATTTTTTATCACAAGCACCGGTAACTTAAAGAGCAAAAAAGTTAAGTGCAAATGTATGCCACATATGCAGCGTCTTCTATCAGCTAAATTAAAGTATTCATCAAAATATAATTCCTGATGTTTAATAGTATCCAGTTATGAATTTTAATACATAAATGTTCACAAACATGAAAGTTATAGCGAAAATTAAAATTTTATATTTCCACTTTACCCTGTATCACATTTTATTAAAGCAATTTGGCCTTAAATCGTAATATTTTAGAGTGTAGAATCTACAGTTTCTTTTTGTACAGTTACTTAAGGACCACCCTGTATACACCTACATATGTTTCCAACATTTTTTTTCAATGTTATAATTTTTATTCAAAGGAGTTTTTAAACCCACGTTTAGCTCTCACATATTCTTATTTATTGATACTTGGAATTTAGATTCTAATCTTTTCATTCCGGAATTTTAAAATTCTCATACGCTTTCCTTTCTTGCTTGTGTTTCAATGAGGTAGTTTTAGTCAACAAAGATTTGTCCAGAAGAATACTTCGATTATTACCTCATCTCGTTTTCAATACACGCAAATGTGTCTTGAAATAAGTTGAAATAAGTGCAGACCACAATCTATAAGCTCAAAAATAGTGTAATATTCGGTTAAGTTCCAGTCCTATTTTTACATAAATTACAACCATATGCTACAAAATAAAATAATACGTAAATTCTCTATTACCTCTGACACAATTTTGGATGGATTTATCAAAGTACATGATAAATATATATACTGTATATAAGAGAACAAGGCACAATGCTTCATACCATTCCACTCTTTCATCGTGAATGATACAAATTAAAATGGACACTGTTACTCCGTAGGCTAAACAATCTCTAGTGAGTGGCCACCAATCCAATGGAACTATCTTCGCACCGCTCTAAAAATAAGTAATTTTATTTAAACATACGAAAATATTAAATAAAAGATAAAAAAATAAAATATGTTATAAAAATGGAATAGAAATATGCTTTATTGTCACTGAAAATTGTAGTATTTTATGGACAAAAGCTTACAAAAAGGCAGAAAAATAACAATAACAATTTAAAATTTACTGAAATTACATATATATCGGTAATGTCACAAAATAAAAGAAAATAAAAATACGCAATACATTGCATTTTACACAAAGGTACTGTAATTTCTTAGTTATTCACTCTATATGGTTTCAGGTCTTCCTATGCTTCTTGGTGTCCACCTTGGCCTCCATTCTAGAGTTCTCTCTGTCTACGCCCAATGCCATTTAATTTTTGTTATTCATTTAAAGATATAGCGGGTCTTCCTTTACGCTTTATCTCGGTGTTTAATAATATTGTCTTTCAGAGAGATAGGCATTTGTCATTTTACGGAACTTAAGGAAATAAGTTGCAGATATACGTTGCAAAGGGAGATGGTTATATAATTTTTTTGGCGAAAATAATATAGAACTCTTTACTATAGTCCTTTTCCATTATATTGATAGCACATTATGTATGCAAATCCTCAACAGGTCAAAAAACCATAGGCGTCACCCTATACTTGTTTTGAAATAAATAAAAAAAATTAATATTTTAAGATGCCGTCAACAATTCATTATCTTTTAAAAAATCTTCTGTAAAATAAGTGTCCACTAATCTCACTATACCTTTTTTGTGCGTAAAAAACGTCGGTATATATGCTCACACGATTATTGTTAATTATACACGGGTGATTAACGAGAGAATTCAATGTTTCACGAAATAAATTAATGTAAACAGTAATTTAAAGGTGATTATTGTTTTCTATACAAGTTATCGCCTGACGCAAAAAGAATACCTTCTTTGAACGATTACCTGGAATTACTGATAAGGCTTCACTAATGATAGTTTAAGTAGTTTTTATGCCACATTACAGCTTATGCAGTAATATAAATTAGAAATTGTTTGCATCTTCCATTTAGTTTGTAGATGTACATTGTTCATGTCTTACCTACCTACGTTTTTGGTGTCGATATTTTGTTATTTGCATTTAAAAATGACGTCGACAACAGGTTTTATCCTGGTTAAGTGTAGTTTTAAAGGTACCTTCAGTCTAAGAGAGAAAAATATAATATTAAATGTACACGATGCACTTGTACATTAACGCCCTTTAAGTAATGTTCGTGAAATCGTTAACATGTGTTCAAATATGACAGGGGTTGGAGAAGCAACAATTTATAGATTCCTAAAAGAAAGAAAAGGAGGAACTGTTTCATCTCCCAAGAAGAGTGGAGGGAGTAAACCATTGGAAATTGAAGAAATACATAAAAACATGATAAGACGCAGCGTCCATTCATTTTTTTTAACAAAGAATAACCAACATTGGACAAAATCCAAACATTAATTAGAGAAAAGGAAGAGTTACCAATCATAAGCAACAAGAAATTATGGGGACTATTGAGAGAGATAGGATTTCGTTGGCAAAAGAATAGAAGAAAATACGTTTTAATTGAAAAAGATATCTAAGATAATCTAAGTATGTTGGAGACGAGATTATCTAAGAACTATTAAAAAGTACCGAGAAGAAGGGAAAAACTTTTTTTTATTTGGACGAGACTTGGCTAAATGAAGGTCATACTGTACCATATCTATGGGTTGATACAAATGTGAAAAGTTCCCGTCAGGCATTCATCGAAGGTGTATCTACTGGAATAAACAATATTCCCGTTGGAAAAGGACGCAGACTCATAATAACCCATATTGGAAACGAATACGGTTTTGTCAATGGTGGATTATTAAGTTTTGCCTCAAAATCAACCAAAGATTACCACGAGGAAATGACTGCTGACGTTTTTGAAGAATATTTTGAGCAAATGTTGGATTTAATTCCAAAAAATTCTGTCATAGTCATGGATAATGCTAGTTACCATTCAAGACTAGCAGAAAAATTGCCAACAACGGCATGGAAAAAAGGAGAGATAATCGAATGGTTGGATAAACACGCAATTGAGTACAAGTAGAATTCGACAAAAAAGGAATTATTACCTATTGTAAGGCAACATAAAGCAGCTTATAAAAAATATATAATTGATGAAATGGCATTAAACCGTGATGTAATTATTTTACGTTTACCCCCATACCACTGTGATCTGAATCCGATAGAAAATATATGGTCTCAAGTAAAGGGTGAAGTCGGACGCAACAACAAAACTTTTAAATTAGAAGACTTACAACAATTATTAGAACATTCCTTATCAAAAGTAACTCCAGAAAATTGGAAAAATGCTGTTAGTCATGCTCACAAGGAAGAAAATAAAATGTGGAATTTGGATAATATGACTGATGCAATGCTGGAACCGGTAATAATTAACATTGGAGTTGAAGATTCCTTAGATTCTGAAGAAAGCAGTGAATCTGAAATGGAATTTGATTAAAATAATATTCATTTTTTTACAAATCGGCCCCTGTTACGACCACAAATTATTTTATATATAACCAATAAAATAAACATCTTACATTTCTTGCAAATTCATTAGTACCTGTTAATCTCCATCACTCCGACACTGGCAACTTTATTTAGGGATTAGTAACCCTCAAAACTATTGTATTCTATTCTGCTTCAACCTTTATACCTGGTGGTCATACTCAATTTAAAATTGTTTTCCTATATACTTCTGTAAACTTGTTGACAAATATCTATTTTTCATTGAGTCACCCGTATCAACAGTTTAGGGATTTGCATACATAATGTGCTATCAATATGATGGAAATGGACTTTAACTAAGTGGACGGGATCGGTAAATATACATCAAAGATTTAATTTTTGGTGGAGTAGTTTTGATTGTCTTGGTGGAAAAACATGTAGATGTTTGCATGTAGGTGTTTGCAAAAGGAAAACCATATCGAAAATAAGACTCGAACAAAGAAAAATATGTTATTTTGGAAGATGCTTAATTGATTTCCTTCGAAACAGATCTTATTGCATAGCAGGCTGAAGTTAGTTTCTTACTTAACAAATCGATATGAAGGGACCATTTAAGGTTGCTGTCTATAAAAATACTAAGAAATTTTACAGAATCAACGATACTGATCTGGCTGTTATTAAGAAGCAAGGGTTGAAGAGCTCCTTTATATGATAATGCTACTGTCTTATCCACGTTAAAAGAGAGTAAATTAGAGTCGGACCAGGTTTTTATTTTAAGTAAATCAGAAGTTATAATTGCACGAATTATAAAGTAAAATTGTTCCATCGATTTTTAAGTTAGTGATGTCATTTATAAAGATAAGGAAAAGTAAGGACCTAGTACTGAACCTTGTGGTACTTCACATACAATGCTTTTGTGACTAAGTCAGTATCATTTGCTCTAACTAGTTGTTTCCTATTCCTCAAGTAAGATTGGAACCAATTCAAAGAAATACCTCAAATTCCGTAGAAATTTAGTTTTTTATCAAAATGTCGTGATTTACACAATCAAAAGCTTTGGCATAGTCACAAAAAACAGTGGCAGTATAAAGATTATTGTTTAGTGCTTGATAGACCTCATGTAGTACAGAAAACATACCATCGCTGGTACATTTATTAGATAAAAAGCCGAACTGACTTTGTCATAAAATGTTGTTTTCAACCAGAAAGGACATAAGTCGGGTCTTTATGAGTTTCTCAATAATTTTGGATAGGACTGGTAGTAAGGCAATAGGTCTATTGTTGCAGACATTCGATTTTTCACTCTTATAAAGAGGAATAATAATGACTGTCTTTAGGCACTCTGGAAATATACGTTTTTCAAAAGAATCATTCATTACTGAGACCAGAACTTCCAACACTTTTTTGGGAGATATAAAAAATCTTTTATGGATAGTCCATCAGTACTACAGGAAGATTTGCTTTTGTGATCGAATACTCCAATATTAGTAGTAACTCTCTGAAAAGTTCGCATACAGGATACTGATTAGGGTCAGTTTAATTTTAAATTCGGAGAACTTACTTATTTCTGAATTCTCATCTGGTTTTACTCTTCTTGTCTTTTGTTCAATAAGTTGAATGAATTGCAAGCAGGCAGCGCATGCCTGTACCAAGCTAATTCTATCTTGCTTAGATCTCTAAAACATCGATAAGGCAACACCTTTTCCCCTGTCTCATGCATATCATGGGCATGATAGTGATGCACATCGGGAATAGGGAGAACAACACTAGTCCACAAATCTCACGATGTAATAGTCAGCAGTAGTGCGACTTACCTATTCAGCAGAGTGTAGTTGTAGATATGCGTATGTATATTTTGTGTGAGTATTTATTTGATCCACGGGTATTTATCTGAATACACTTTATTTACACCGGTGCCATGGTCCTATGTAGCCATAAGATATTACCTTTTTGTTATTATTACTTGGCGTATAAAAGATAAGAACTTTTTCAATCAGTGATGTGCTATTCGTTTAGTGGAGATAAAAGACTCCCAGTCGCAGATAAGCACGGGATAAAAAAGTGCTAACTCCTTGTTCAGTAGTTTGATTACCAGAATTTTCTTTATATGTTGATCCCATAAGAAAGTATCTTTGCTTTGATTTACCAGTTGCTCAAAAAAATATTTCTAGTTTAAATCTGCCAGCAATTTATAGTTAAACTCTTTATATTTTTAAATACTTTCATTAGCAATAAATATTTTCTCTGAATTTTGGAGTTGTTTTATTACTCTTAAATATAACAATGTTTTATAAGTAAACTAAGGTATAATAAAGAAAGACCTTTACTGACCGTTTCAAAGTCTAAAATTTGTCTGACATTGTCTAATTTAATACCATCTAGCTAATAGCTATAAAAACAACATAAAATTCAGTTGATCGGTTAAGTTTTTGGCTGTTTTAGCTATTAAGCAGAATGTACTTGACCCAACTAAGTGTAAATTGTTATACCTCGAAACTAGTCAATAATAAATAAACAGATTTTGAATAAAGAACAATCATGATAATGAAATAGATATATTATATTCCCAAATAACCTTACTATTGTTAATATTTACCGTGAAATATTATAGTTCTTTGTGCTATTGTAGTAGCACAATAAGAGCTAGGATAGAAATAGCAAGAAATGCGTTTTGAAAACTGAGAGTAAGAGTACTGAGATGCTACGTGTTTTCGATACTGCAATATGGAGTTAAAAGCTGAACATTGAAGCAAAAACAGATAAATAAATTACAGTCCTTTAAAACGTGGTGTTACAGGAGGATGCTTAGAATAGCATGGACACAGAAGAAAACTAACACTGAAGTATTGCGAGAAATGGACAAAGCATGCGAAAGCATGACTTCACTAATAAAACTATTAGCATAGTTACCATATCTTGGACTACGTTATCTAGGATCTTGTATCAGGGAACTATCATGAGGAGAAGGAGTATATCAGAAGGAAAGTGTCATGGTTTGAACGCATTTACAGGGCACTGCGTTCTAAATACAGTTCTATAGAACTCGTTCATGAGCAGCAGTAGATAAAGTTCGAAGATTGTGATCATGATATCCAGACACCTCTTGATTCGCCAAGACGCGCATCTTTCAAAGACAGAAGATATTTCATAATTTAGGTTAACAGTCACTAACCAATCTTCCTGATATTTTTTAATCAATAAATGTAGTAAATGGGGATACATCTTTATTTTATGAGCTGTTTGTTTGTAACCATTAATACTTCTTTATGAATAAGTCTTTGTCTTCACTTTTTATCCTGCATTTTGATATTAAAAGTTTGCCGTTTCAACACTCCACATATTTCTATCCTAACAATCACCTTCTCTTAGATCTTTTTCAATCATCGCATTTCCTATATGTGTTTTTTACTTCGTAGCTGGTTTTTCGCTTTATTATTTTACTGGAGATTCCAACTTCATTACTCTTTTTGACCATCTATAGCACATGACTGTACCATTGTACTGCTTTGCTTTTCATTTTTTTTTGTTATTGAGCATTATCTTTCATCTGGTTCCATATTTCTTATTGCCTTATTTTTTCTCATCTTGTAATTTAAAGACACCTTCTTATAAAAATGCAATTCGACCGTTTTTATTTTTTAGAGTTCTTTATAGGGAAGAACTATTTGTCGCAAGTTGGTCATTCAGAATTATATCTGCATTTTTTAATTTGTTATTTTCCATTAATTCTAGTAAAGATAGTTTAAGTTCTTTATTTTAAATGTGAAGAATTTGAAATAGTCTGGAAGGTAAAGTGCATACGTAAAATCTGTGTTTTTTTTATTAAAATCACTTTCCTCTTTAAAATCACTTGATTTTTGATATACGTTTGTTACAAGTTCTATCAGTTTGACCCATGTAAAATTTTGGCCAGTCGCCATTAAGTTATTTTTCTTTTGGATCTTGTTGTTCTTAATAAATTTGCCTTCTTAATAATTCTTAATTTAATACTCCTTTTTTTTTTTCGTGGTTGGCTATTTTGTTAATATCTTGCCTGTATATGTAATCAAGCAGAAGATACTTTCTCTATTGGTGGCAATACTAATTTCAGCGCTTTTTTTGTGTAGTTTTTATTTGCAAATTTTGTTCATTGTTTGTTCGTTGCAGCCATTGTTTCCTGCTATTTGAAGAACTTGTTTTTTTTAAATGTTTGTTTTTAAATTAGCTTACAATTGGTTTTAATTGGCAGCCTACCATATTATATTACATAGATCAATAAAAATTATCACCTTAAAACAAAACTTCGAGATAAAATTAAATATGGCTAAGCAAATATGAGTTAACAATAAATAAAACGGAGAAACAATAAACAAAATTAAAAAAAAAACACATAAGAAACCCTGAAGTTAGTATTTCCACTACTAGAGAAAAAATCCAGTTCCTTCTGCTTAATTACATATACAGGTAAGATATCAACACAATAACCAAACATATAAAAAAATAAAAGAATAACACCAGTTTTAAGAACAAACAACTACTTAGTTAAATATATCAAGAACAACAAGAGCCAAACAGCACTTAAACAATGGTGTATAAATACTTAAATGTGGCGACTGCACAAAAACTTAAATTGGTCATACTGGTAGAACTTTTAACAAACGTATAGCAGCACATAAAAAAATTTCAATCATAAAAGCCAAAGGCAACATAAAGGAATTCTTATTAATAATGTCTCATATTTTTAAGTAATGTTAGAATGCAATTATCACTTAGTTACTCCTGCCAAATACCTCGAAATTGCCATATTATTATTAACTTGAAAGAGTTCTTGTATGAATAGTACATTTTATTAGGATCAGCTTATGTAAAAAATTGGCTTTACAAGATTAAGCTTAAGACATATAACAAACGCTTAAGCTTTATTAGAGTACTTATCATTTGAAGAACCAATACAATTTTTTGCACATACTTTATAATGTTTATTAAAATTAAGTCAGCTTTTGTTTTTACCTCATGCTGTGCTGTTTTTTTTATGTTTTTTATACTTACCATACCAGCGCCAATTCCGCAGCAGGCCGCTACTGCCAGAATATTAAAAACTGCCGATCCGACAATAGTTCCAACACCGATATCACCCTCCGTTATAAATGTTCCAATAACATTTACAAAAAGTTCTGGTGCGGATGTGGCGGCAGCCATAAAGGTAGCTCCGGCTACATCCGCTGTCATATTTAACGCTACAACAACAAAAACGTTACGTGTGAATGAAACAAAACTGTAAATGAAAGTATTCAAGTACTTGTATATACAATAAAAAACACAAATGAGCGTATACGACTAAAAGAGAAAAGAAATGCGAATCTAACAAAAATTACTTTATCTTTCCGGAATATGGCCGGTTTGCGCCTCACGTGAAGTCGACCGTTTGCGCTTTGCAATTTTCATAATAGAAATATCTAACTACTATAGTTTCTTAATCGGCCGATTTGCCATCTCTTACAATATAATTTTAATTTCATTCTACAATAATAGTCTGGTGAACCTGCAATGAACAAACTAACATGTCAAATAAACAGAAACATCTTTTTCCTTTAGATTTGAAAAAAAAAAATCAAAAGTCAAACTATAAAATTATTAAATTTTTCTAATACTGTCGAACAACAGAGTGTTCTTTAATCTTTAATACCTCTGTTTATAATCCTTCTACCTGGATGTTAATGTTAGTTTAGATATAATTAGTAACTAGAATTCCCAAAATGAGAGATGGCTGGAACTAACTTTCCTTTCTACCTGATAATGCGAATTGGTAAACTAACTTAAGTCTAATTAACAAGGGTATGGTAACAGAAAAATTACCTGAAAATTCTACGTGATAATGACCATATTGATGGTCAATCATTTCTATTGCGTTCTTTGAGATAGTAAGATCAAGAATTATTGTGAATCAGTGTGAGTTAGTGTGAGTAAGTGTTTTAAAAATGGATGTGCAAATTATTGAAACTTCGAAGGTGAAAACCATGTGCATTGTTTAAGGGTACAGTTTTCGTATAAAAAAAAAACAAATAAAGATGGTTCGGTTTTTTGGAGTTGTTTAAAAGAGAAAACTGAAAAATGTCGAGGCCACATAATTATGGATAATAATGTAACCTCGGAAATCTTTTTTGGGTGGTGCTAGAAAGATAACCAATGGAGACACTGCGGACGGCAGCCAGATGGTTGGTGGAGAGCGAGTCGTGGGTTCGAAACTAGCTTTTGGAACCGGGAATGGATCCAACGGAAGAAATAGGTAAAGATAGGATAAGAGATATTAGAAAAGATACAGAAATAAACAAAAAGATAGATGGGTAAAATTACCAAAGATAAGAGAAGATAGAAACAGGGCGCCACTCAATTTTTTGGGGTTAAGGAGAAAATTAAGAAAACCTTAGAAAAGAAAAGAGATAAGAAAAGATATTTAGGTTCAGAGATCAAACCCAAGGAAAGATACCAACAGTAAATTATCAAATAAATCTGGTCAACGCAATATATAAACAAATAATAAATATATTAAGTATTACACTTACTTACCTACGAAACTTAATCAGCCTGATCTTTCTACAGTTCAAAAGCATAGTAATATTTAAAGATAGTAATTGTTCAGAGCTATTATTTTATCAGGGAACTTGTTAGGAGCCGACAAATAAAATACATGCATAAAACAATAACAATATATTAAACACAAAATTATGATGCTGCTAAATGCAACCCAGGTAATAAAAATACACAACTATGAAATGGTGTTATATATGTATAAAATTAAGCAATAATGTAATAAGAAAATACCTTTACCAAGATATATAAGGCAATCATATACAAATATAGTTTGGCGTATCTCGAGATATCATAGGAAAGATAATGAACAAAAATTATAGGAAATACAAAAGATAGCAAAAATTACTTAACTCTAAATTTACAAAAAAAAACAAAAAGGTTACAGGAATGAAAACATAAACCAAACCGCACTTGGTTAAGTCAATTAACTATCTCGCACTATTATTTAATAAAAAACTGAGACTTGTATGTTCATAGGTAATATTTATAGAAATTTCTTGAATGGTTCAATTACATTCAAAAATCGGCAATCTACAGGTGAAGATATAGATGATACGTCCAGATAATGGCAGGTGATATGGTACCATACCATATTACTCGCCCAGATAATTGTAGATAAAGATTACTTACAGTAGATCTTGACGAAGGCAGCTTAATTCACTGAATTTAATACTTTTCTGGTACTAAACACTGAATTTAATAACCATTAAAGGTAGTGTAGAACTATATATAATTTAATATAGTCTAAGGAAAGAAAACTCAAATATAAAGTGTATACACACTTAGAAAATAATTCACAAAGACGATACGATAAGAAATAAAGTGAGCAAAGCGTAACACGAGATATTGGCCTTAACTCAACAACGGCCCACCAACAAGTCTCACGAGATATTACCTCACTCAACAACTGCCCACCAACAAGTAAATTGGTTCCACTAAAAATTTCACCAACTGTCCCTGAAAAAGGAAGAAGAAGATATATCCCCCACTCAAAATGATAGGACAGTTGTATGTGTTTCTCAGAAGGTAAGGCCTTAACGACTATTGGAAAGTTTGAGGTAAAATAATCGGTATTAACAATTGGACATAAGAAACAGACAATACTTGGGATTAAGTTATTGTCAAAAGAAACGGGCCTTCGACGAAAATTACCAATTTATGAAAAGGAAACTGCATACCAAAAAGCATTATACTCTTTTCATAATGAATATTATGACGGAAGGATTAAAAACCTTTCTTAATTAGGGAATTCCATTTTAGCTTGGTATCTACAATACTATTTTCCTATCGTAAACACGGGGATTCCTAATCATCGGCGTATCGCACGGGGGTAAAAGGAATTAAAAATAATTTAATATATTAATAATAAAAAAAATGTTACAATAACACAATAATAAAGGAAGCCGAACATCTGTGTAATCCGAGTGTTGCAGCGACAGAAGTGAAGCAGTGTGTCTTCAATGCTCGAAAAAGAGCTAGGTAAGACAATAGTTATTTGCCGATGTCAAAAATATATCAAGATGAATTTCAAACATTATATAGTCAAGGACTGGATTTCGTGACAGACATCCCAAAATGTGCGCGTGGGCTGCTCACAGATTCAGCGGTAGCATCCGAAATAGTATTTCCAGAAGAAGTTATTACAATGAGCGACAAAACCAAATTTTTATTTATCGACAAGACCACTCCCTCGGAATACAGAATCTAGGTGTTTGCCAGCAACAAAGCTATGGGAGATTTTGGTTAACAGTAAGAACACTGTATTTTATGGATGGAACATTCAAAAGCTGCAGTAAGCAATTTAGTCAAATATATACCGTTCATATCGATATTGGTAGTACGTCAGAGGAGACAAATACAATTCCATTGATATTTGCGTTACTTCCTAACAAAACCAAAGAGACATACGATATGTTATTTTCATCAATGAAAGAGAAACTACCAAATTGGAAACCATCTCTTATAAAACTGAATTTTGAACAGGCAGTGATTGGTGCCTTAGAAAATTATTTTTCCGAAGCCAAAATTTCTGGTTGTAATTTTCATTTCAATCAATGTATATGGAAAAATGTTCAAAATATTGGACTTGTTTCTGAATACACTGACAACGAAGAAATACGTTTGCACATAAGAATGTGTGCTGCGTTAGCGTATCTACCCATAGAAGATATCGATGATGGCTGGTTATGCATTTAAGAAACCTCTCCTATTTCTGAAAAAATGAACAGTTTTATGACTACTTTGTCAAACAATGGTTAGAAAATACTCACATTACCAAGGAAATGTGGAATTGCCATGATCAAAGACATCGCAGTAATAACGTTTTAGAAGGTTGGAATCATCGTCTGAATACATTAATAAGACCACATCCCAATGTATTCCAATTAGTGAAGTGCCTGTTAAAGAAGCAGAATATTGTGATCACCTTTATGATCGATTTACTTTCAATCTAGAAGGAAAGCGGCGCAAGAAAACATATATTAATCTTGATGAAAGAATATCCAAAACTTTACGAAATATATAAAGATACAAGGGACTTAAGGTTGTGTTTAAGGACATTGGCATATATCCAGAAGCTGCAATAAATAGACAATTTTTTATTCCCAAGAATTTTTTGTATTTTACTGTATAAAAAGTTTGAAAAAAAAACAACAAAAAAAAAAAAAAAAAAAAAAAAAAAAAATTAACAAATTAAAAAAAAACGAAAAAAATAAAAAATAAAAAAAACATCTTCTAAACACGCCAATGTTTATATTATGTATAAACTATGACAGTCCTAAGCCTGAATGAAAGTGTGAAGGGAAGATGGTTTATTTTTATTTTTTTATAGTTTTATGATTTTTTAAAACTAATTTTACTAGCCTAACCGTTACCTGATCGTTATGGTAGAATAAAATTAAACGTCGATTACAAGAGAGCGCAAAACGGTCGATATAAGAAAATAATTAGCTATACATCTCCATTAAGAAAGTGTTAGAGCGCAAACCGGCCGATTTCAGGTAAGGGCGCAAAACGGTCGAGCGCATATCGGCTGACACCATGTTTCCGCACTTGCAGTGCTACTCCAAATTATTTGTAAACCATTCTTTACATTGAGACCTAAATGAAACGTTTTTATAAACATATGAAAATGCCAAGGGATACAATTTTCAGATAGTTTTATCTGTATACATAAATTTAGGATGTGCAGTAAAAACTGACTTATTTAAAGTAGATATAATTAAACGATCAAGTTAAATCAAATAATCAAGAAAAACCATGATAAATTGGGACAAAACGTTAGTCATTAAAGCAGGTAATTAATATGTATACGCAAAACTTGGTAATGTACTTGATGATTGATTATAATGTACTTGAGTTTTTAAAACTATGCAGAGCAAAGTTATATAAGTGTCACATAAAATTATTTAGAACGTACTTACATGAATGCTCGAATGAATATTTCGCGTGCTTAACTAACATTTAAAATCGCTGGTAGCTTTAAGCGTTGTTTCTGAGAGAACGGTTCATTTTACACAAAATATGCGAATAAACATTCTTTAAAACAGATTTTTGGCAAATCCATGTTTTTCGTTTTTCACCACCCGCGAGAGGTGTTTAGGAGTAAGCCCTTGGATAGAGGTAAACATCTGTGTTTTGGGGTCCCGTAAATTTAGATTCTTAGCAAAATTTAGCTTGTTTGTATGATTTTAGAGATAAAATCTCAAGCACTGAACTAATAATGACTTAAGAGATGGAGGAGAGATGCAAAAAGTAAAGGTCAAAAGTAAGCATGATAAAGGAAATTAAGTTGAAAATACTAGAAAAAGACCTGCGGATAATCAGTAAGATTAGTTAGAGACTTAAGGCTGTTTTATCGGTGCTGCAAAACTTAGGGACAGTGTTTTTTCTGTTATTTACCGACAAAATGTCTCGAAATTTGGACACGTTATTCGAAATTATGTTGCCTTTAAAATGATGGTTTTACTTTTTTTTATTTTTTTGAAACTTCTGTTGAAAAATTGAATTATACTGTTTAACGTTCTATTATTACCAAACTTTTTACGCTCATCACTTGAAAGATTTTTATTTGTAATCGTTGATTTTTTTTTCACCTTTCTGTGTCCAGTAATAATCTAGAAAGCGTGTTCCAACTTTAAAGAAGATTGCTAAAAAATACTAAAATCTAATAGTAAAACATGTTACTCATCATTGGCACTTAGTTTTATCGTTATAGCTTTCGTGACATCAAATCTCATGAACGTACGGTCAGTTAGTTCGTGTTAAAACTAATTTGAATGGAGAATAATGCATTTGTTGTCATTAAACTACCTGTCGACCGGCGACACTGAGTAAAGATGGTCTGGCGTAAGCAGTGTAGAAAAGTAAGTGATACGCCCATTTCAAATCGCAGTGTGCTTTAACTGCTAAAAGAGCCTTAAGTTATAAGACATAGAAGATAAAAAAAGTCAATATTGAAGCTAAAATGATAGTATCTCTTTAAAGATGGCATTAAAGTAATTTGAGCCGAATATAAATTGTATAGACCAACACCAGTAAATTTAAAGATGGTTCAAATCAGTGATAATTGTAAAAAAATTTGCCAACACTTACCATGACATATTTTTTCAACGGCCGGTACAAAATATTTATCACAGACTACAGCTAACGCTACAAAGAGGTAGAGAGACACCACTATATGAACAACCACGGCACCACCCTGCCGCTGTTCTTCTGTAAAAAAATCCCTGGGAAAGTCGTCTATCGCCGGTGGTGTACAGTTAAGTCCTAAAAGAGAAGAACATAACATATTTATAAATATGCTTTTACTACAATTTATATATATATATATATATATATATATATATATATATATATATATATATATATATATATAAAACCTAGAGCTAAGATTAATATTATTACTAAAATTAATATCAAACTCACCAGTCTTCCGGGTTGAACCGCGTCGATATCCATTTTGCCGAGCTTTCGGCATCCTCTCTGATGCCTTCCTCAGGGCTTCCGAGGTCTCAGTCTCCCGAGCCCCAGACACTACTACACTGTTACTGATCACTACGCACTGATCAGTGAACAGTGTAGTAGTGTCTGGGGCTCGGGAGACTGAGACCTCGGAAGCCCTGAGGAAGGCATCAGAGATGATGCTTGGAAAGCTCGGCAAAATGGATATCGAAGCGGTTCAACCCGGAAAACTGGTGAGTTTCATATTATTACATATATATATATATATATATATATATATATATATATATATGTATATATATATATAAACTATATATATATAAACTTTTATATATATATATATATATATATATATATATATATATATATATATATATATATATATATATATAATTCTTTGGAGGGTAACTTTCGGGAAAGCGTCAAAACAAGGATCAGCTAGAGATGGTATAAGCCAGTTTGGTGTAGAACTTTATTCTAAATGTGAAATTTTCGGTGATATGTTGTCACCTTTATCAGCACCTAAATGAAAAACCTATTTTAGTACAAGTGGTGGAAATCAACATTTAAAAACCTACATTGAAAATGTTCAGTTGGTCCTAGTGGTGAAGAACACTGTCACAAACAAGACTGGTGAGTTTCATATTAATTACATATATATATATATATATATATATATATATATATAAACTATATATATATATATATATATATAAACTTTTATATATATATATATATATATATATATATATATATATATATATATATATATATATATACTTCTTTGGAGGGTAACTTTCGGGAAAGCGTCAAAACAAGGATCAGCTAGAGATGGTATAAGCCAGTTTGGTGTAGAACTTTATTCTAAATGTGAAATTTTCGGTGATATGTTGTCACCTTCATCAGCACCTAAATGGAAAACCTATTTTAGTACAAGTGGTGGAAATCAACATTTAAAAACCTACATTGAAAATGTTCAGTTGGTCCTAGTGGTGAAGAACACTGTCACAAACATGTTAAAAATATTAAAAAATACATTTAAAACTTTGAATAAAAACATTACAACACAACAGGGTATTTTTTCAAATACAAACACAACAAAAAAATCTAAAATTTACAACCTACAAAAACTGCAACTTCATGTTAAAGGTAGAAAAGAAGAATTATTCTTCTTTTTTGATGACATATTTCTGATTTCTGTCAATATCCGGGTGTCATATGTAACGAGGTTATAATTTTCACGTTTGCACCTCATGGATATGGAAAGAAAGAACCCAAGGAAACATAATCAGCAGGGAAATGAAGTCTTTTCTCAAGTACAGGTAGGTAATCTATGCATGTTATGATAAGTTCCCTACATTCTCCAGTTTGTTACATCTTGTCAAGTCCTGTTGAAGTAGAAAGGAATAAATACAACTTAAGTTTTCAACATCTTTCTTACAGTTCATAGAAGAGCTGCAGTTATGGATGTAGCACATTTCTATGAAGTTTCTCTTAAATTGGTTGTCAACCCTCTTTAGTACTTGCACATTTTCATAGTTAGCAATGTGTCCAGTATTCTTAATATGTTGGCTAAAGGCTGTGCAAGTGGGCTTCCTCACTACATCACTCTTGTGCAAAGCTATTCTTTTTGAGAGTTTCTGGCTGGTTTGACCGACATACACTTCTGAACAAGAACCACATGGAATAGAATACACTACATTGAAGTTATCCAGTTTTTTAACTCTTCAATGTAGTGTATTCTATTGCATGTGGTTATCATAACATGCATAGATTACCTACCTGTACCTGAGAAAAGACTTCATTTCCCTGCTGATTATGTTTCCTTGGGTTCTTTCTTTCCATATGAGGTGCAACTGAAATTAACCGTTACATTGACCCTATTGACAGAAATCAGAAATATGTCATCAAAAAAGAAGAATAATTCTTCTTTTCTACCTTTAACATGAAGTTGCAGTTTTTGTAGGTTGTAAATTTTAGATTTTTGTTGTGTTTATTTAAAAATACCCTTGTTGTGTTGTAATGTTTTTATTCAAAGTTTTAAATGTATTTTTTAATATTTTTAACATGTTTGTGACAGTGTTCTTCACCACTAGGACCAACTGAACATTTTCAATGTAGGTTTTTAAATGTTGATTTCCACCACTTGTACTAAAATAGGTTTTCCATTTAGGTGCTGATGAAGGTGACAACATATCACCGAAAATTTCACATTTAGAATAAAGTTCTACACCAAACTGGCTTATACCATCTCTAGCTGATCCTTGTTTTGACGCTTTCCCGAAAGTTACCCTCCAAAGAATTGTATTCTTAGCGTCGTTATACACACACACTCTATATATATATATATATATATATATATATATATATATATATTATATATATATATATATACCGGGTGGTAATACCGGTATAGGTAATTGTATCTACAAAAAGGAACAGTAGATTCTACTCTTTAAAATAATACGATCTATGTATGATTTATGAACTTGCTTTAATAATTTGTGGATACGAAGAAAGATACAGGGTGTTAAAGTGGAAATTTGAAAATTGACACTTATTGTCAAAGTTAGTGTTTGATATGACCACCATTTTCTTCAATGCGTTTATTAATACGGTCTACAAAAGATCATCATCATTAAATAGTATCATTGGTTTAAAAGAAACTGTTGCAGTGTTTATTTCTTCCCAAAGTTGGTTGCGAATGTTTATGTGGTTCTTGTAAACACCTTGTTTAAATGCGCTTTATACGCCAAAATCGTACTGGCCAAAGAAAATAACTATCACGACCAAACCACTGCAATCGTATAATGTGGTGCTACACCATCTTGCATAAACCACAAATTCTCCTTTAAATTTAATGGCAAATTAATAAAATCATTTTTTTTAATAATGTAAATAGTTTAATGTAAATAGTTCTTACCATTCAAATTACGAAGTAATTCGTATGGCCCTAAGAAATGGATACCAAGTATTTCACACCATACATTAATGTAAAATGCAAAATTTATGTGGTTTTTTTGGCAAGCATTGTTTCATATAATGACCAATTTTGGTGCTACATATTTTTTCATCAATGCTTAGATGTTGTTCAATTGTTACACTGGACAAATTGTTGTTAAGTGTGTTAACAAATGGCCTTATCTTGTGAAGTCTCTTATGTCCAAGTTTAAAAAAACATATAAGTTTGTTGTAATTATTCAAGTGCAACTATCGCCTAATTTTCACAAATCTATTTAGAGACATAGTTTTTTTACTGGTTCAAATAAAAGCTTCTCTTTCCAGAAGGAGCGTACATTAGATATGACATATATATAAAAGTATACCAATGAACTGTCTAATGTCAACAGAAGTAAGCACTTCGTTTCTTTCTGGTTTGGTTTGTTAACTCTTGTCTCTAATGTCTTAGTAAATTCTCGAAATATGAAATGAAGATGACACAAACTACTAACGAGCTAATAGCTTTGTTTAAAGAAGACTCAGATTAAGAAAATGCTAACTCATTCAATGTGGTTTACTTGCCGTCGAGATTAGATTAGAAAGTTTTTGATGTAGAAGATATTGATGATAATATTGTTTGTGAAGAACTAATAAAATCAGATATTGCAGGTACATATGAAATACAAGTCATTGGGAATTCTGACGATTCTGACTATGATACTCCTCTGAACCGCAGATAAAACGTCCAAAGAAAAAACCAGGCAAAAATAGTAAATCCAAACTTGTCTCAAGTTGTAACAACAGATACTTCTTCGTGCTCAGTAGTAATTGAACATCAGTCTGATTGATATTTAGACAATATAAAATCCAACCATGGAGAAAATTCATATAATAAAGTTTTTTCACTCTTTTTGATAAAAAAGTAATTGAGAGCATTCTATATTTTACAAATATTATAAAAAGTCCTGCATCACCTAAGCGCCTTATAGTTTTTGAGGTTTAACACAAGTTTTTTGTATATTTTCGCTAATTCATTTTAAGTTTGTGCTTGTAATTAGCATTATCGGTATACTTACTAATGTTTTTGTAATTACTAGCTCAAAATTCTACAGAAAAGATTAAAATAATCTGATTGAAGGGATTTCCCATAATCCGAGAAAATTATGAGGTGATTATTAAGTCGTTATAGTACTATTAAGTTGAATCTTAATGAGAAATTTGCCACATATTTTGACTATATAAACACTGTAGTTACCCTAACCCATTTATTCGTTCTTTGATTTATGATAAAAAGGTCAAAATGTCATCCCAGACCAAACAAACTAAATTATCAAACGAAAAGCGTTTTGAAACGTTTTTTCATCATACAAACGATAAATCTAGTCGCAAAATAGCATCCGCAGTAAACTGTAATCAATCTAAAGTAATTAGAGTCATTAAGAAGTATGCTAAATAAGGAAAAGTCGACGACCCTTCACGATGAACCAAGGAACATCGAATCTGGAGAGCAGAGCACTGGCAGAGTGAACTATTTAGTGATGATTCCACTTTCAATATTAATAATCATGCTGGAAATGCTTACGTTAAAAGATTTCCTAGTGAAGAATCTTCTTCAAAATGTGTTTTTTCCGCATACCTTGGGTGGATAGAGTTCGAAACGATGACGTCCTTAATAGAGCCGGCGTGGAAAGAGAACTCTTTGAATTAATTAAAAAACGCAAGATTGGTTACCTTGGGCACATATTGAGAGAAGCAAAATATGAAATACCACAGTTAATCCTACAAGGGAACATCGAAGGTAGGAGAGGAGCCGGCCGCAAACAATTATCCTGGTTAAGGAATATTAAAAATGGACAGGAATACACAATACAAGTGAGCTGTGTCACG